TTCCTCCTGCAGCGACGGCTTCAATCACATGGTATAGTGCTCTTCCCCGCAGACATCAGTGGGAAACAAAATTGGCAATGAAGCCGTATTCTTTTTTCTCTCACTTGGCATTTTGCCACCAGAAAAAAACATAAATAGCTCTAAGAAGTTTCCTTAAGTCCCGACCAAAAAAAAATCTACGTATTTTTGTATTAAAAAGTCTTCATTCCCAATCCATTTTGATAAAAAAAAAATTCACCCCGGAAAAGAAATAGACCCTCAATTCATGTTGTCAATCTTGGCTGAGTTTTTGAGGATACAAAAAAATGGATGAGAGGAGTGGCATTGTAAAATATATATATTCCACATTTCTTGTAGATAAGAAAAGTTACAGTTAGAATGATATTTTATATAGAAAGAAAGAAAAATGTATTCCTAGCATTACACTTATCCTTATCAATTTATACAGCTAGATTACAAAGAGGGGAGCTTGGGTAAATTAAATTAATCCAGTCAGCGCACTACAGGCTGGCAATGGGGGGGGGGGGGGGGGTATCATGTTACATTGTGGAAATAAAATGGATGGGAGTTTTCAATTTAGTATCTATCACTAGAGCCTCATAGTGAATTTTAACATTTTATCGGCAACATCGCAATGTTAAAGGATTTCTGTTGGATAAGCAACTTGTTAGTTGATAATTAACTTGTCACCGTGAAGCTAAACTTAATGAGATACATGCTCATCTGTTGTTACGTGGGGGTAGTCTAGGCCACTGGACACAGTTACACTCCGACAGTTCGGCTCCCACATATTTAGATCTCAACTTCATTCAGCCAGAAACAGGGAATATTCCACTTGTCTTGTGGCCCAATCCAACTCTGCTGTTATTCCTCAAAGTTGACAAATAAATTAAGCAGACACGACTGAAGAAAAAATGTTTCCTTGTCTTTTGATACTTTCAGATTACTTTTATCAAGGGAGAGAAATGTAATAGAGGCCATGTATGTAATGCCCCATGCAATTACCTTGATCCATTTATTCACCGCCACGTATCCCAGTGCAGCAAACACCAAACAAAAAGCGGGATTGAGGATGAAGTGGCACGACCGGTGCTTTGTCCTTAGTAAATGTTGAGGCATATTACGAGCATTCAGTATGTGACATCTATAATCAACACATATCACCCAGTCACAACTGGAAGTATTTTTTTCCATGGTACAGCATGCGCCTCAGGCCATATTGTCTTTGTGCCACACTACCTAAGGGAAGACACAACCCAAAACACAAACGGAACATAGCTCGTCGCTACGTAAATAGGCTTCATGTCCCAGGCTATCCGGTACAGGTTTCGACGCTTCGTTAATTTGCAATGCAATAATTTAAAGTCATGTACAGAGTACCACCATACATAGTGTGCTCTAGTTGCAGCGTGGTGCGAGTGCCATGCATGGTGGGAGCCGACACATGGAAGCAGTGGACATCTGTGCGTAAGCTCGGCTTGGCCAGACACTGTTATCTGAGTTCATCTGGAGGCAAAATGTGATTGCATGGAAAGCCGCTATACAGGGACGGCGGGCATGTTTGATTTCGTAGAAGAAAGGTCTTGAGCCTGGGCCTGAACAGAGTTGAGAGCACGGATGGCTGCTGGGGTGGGGGGGTGGGGATTTTCAGACCCTGGGGGCAGCAGATGTGAAAGAGCTGCACACTCTGTTCCTGGAGGCAAATAGACTGGGATTTAGGGGTGAATCGGCTCTTTTCTTTTGCAGTGGCAAACCTCAACTGCTGAAGCAACTTGGATAAAAGTTGCATTGTTTTGGCATTGAATTAAATGAGTGGAGCACCAAATTGTGTTTGGCAAGCACTTTCATTTGAAGTATAGGACTGCTCAAAAGCCTAATGTGCGATATGTTATTATTTATAATCTCTTGGCTGCGCATTTTGAAACATGGAACAGTTATGAATGTGATGACTGAGGAAGCTAGACTTTCTTCGGTGGAAACCTGAGCGCCAGGCAATCGTGAGCTCGTTAAGAGCTCGGTAGGCTGAGTGATGTGTAGTGACATGGAATGGGCCACTATGGAGCATAGCGCGGGTTGCTGACAGGGAAAAGGATCTGCGGTTGCAGCAGCCCTGTCTGTCAGCAGGTCACGTGATCAGCAAAAATGGAGATGAAGGGCAAAGGTGATAGAGGGGGCACGTGAGGTAAGCCCGGGAACTCACTAGTAGGTTCCAGAAGGGGAGCGTAGCTGGGGGCGGAGCGAGGCCACGCCAGGAGGATAAAAGGGGACCCCAAGCGAAGGTTTGGGGCTGTTGTTTGGAGTGGAATCCCGTCGGGATACTGGAGTCTTCGTCACCGTCTTCACCTCGGCGTTGTCAGTCAGGCAGTCTGTTAGCTGTCCTGACTGAAGTGTAGTTACCCCTTGTACCCTGTGAAGGCTATAATAAATAGAGTGCCTCTTATACCTAGTGTATCTGAGTGTATCACTACAGCTGTATGGTGGAGGGCACGGGGTGGGGGGGATCATCAGCGGTGTTCGTGAAGGCAAAGTGTTTCCTCCAAGTTTTAAATGTAAGCGTCCTGCGATTTTCACATCCTACGCTTGCAAAGCAAGACACCCGTGCAAATGATTATACACTCACGAGTAATTACTATTTTCACAGCTTCATGCAGAAGCCATACACTCTGATGAGATTGTCAAGGAGCATGTACATAACGTTATCGCTTAAAGCATTGTGGGCTTAAGCATTGTCATGATTGCTGCCTGCATTCAATTCCATGCAAGAGCGTGGATTTCAGGTATAAAACAATTTTGTGTTTTACATAAAGTGATTACATTTTTTGCATGAATGGATATCGTGTGTTGACATTTCATCACAATAATAATGTCCACTTATTTTGTTGTGTTGGTCGTCTTCCCTTTAATGAGGAAAATGTTAATACAACAAAACATATTTAGAATAAATTCATGTTCTTGCTTTTGCCACAAAGCAATCAACAAACCACAGGCTTTCTGTCAACAAATCACCAAGAACATTACTGTGACGTGACTATAAATACTGTTATTAACAACTCAGGAGATAAGCAGCCCCATGTGTAGAGACTCGACTGCTTTGGGCATTGATTTATTACATCGCAACTAAAACTTTCCATCCAATTTCATATAAAATGCATTTAAAAATAACTGCCTTGATGCCATACCACAATAGTTTTTTTGATCAACTTCCAAATATTTGCACGTTCATTTAAATGTTAATCGGGCATGTGACTGCGGACGCGCGGGTTGCAGTGGGGCACGATAACTCTGAGTTTGGGCAGCTTGACGAACGATACAACCCATCTGGAACCACACCTGCCAATAAAATGACAGAATTGCCTGAAAAAGATGATGACTGCAATGATTGTCACTTTCTCCCTTCGCTTGTGCCGTCCAATCACTACTCAGTCGAAGCCCACGAGCCACTGTTTAACAAGGTGGGGGGTTAACCAACTCTGCAATTGGTAAGTGGTGGAACATGAGTGGGGGTATGGCAGTGGGACCTGGAACTGTGGTCGAGGAAATATCCCTAAATGTTCTTCATGTTCTCTGCCTCAGGGCAGGTTCTTAGCTCAAGTTTCTTCCATGCTCTCCAACCTTGAGCTTGCTATTCTTTCGTCATGCAGCCTTCCATTCTGCAAGTCATAATATACATCTTCCTAGAGCTTCCCACAGCATGCCTTTCACTCTGGTAATATGCCAAATCCAGAGACTTTTGCCTGCTCTGAATCGTTCCAGGCATCTCTCCTCGTCAACCCATTCGAGCAATTTATTGTAGTCTGTTATTTTCACGAATGGACACCTCGTGCAAATCTCAAAAATGTTCAGCTTTCTGTTGTCTCCCTTTATCAGTGTCCAACGTCTCTGCCAAATGAAAAGGCACACCCCACCCTGGTATCTTTATGAGCATCATCTTTATTCCCTACACACCTGTCTTGTCAGCAGCATCTTGTTTTTTGCTGAATGTGCTTTCTCATGGCAATTCTAGTTCGAACTACCTTCGAGCATCTGCTATATTTTGTCAAAATACCTCCCAAGATACCTGAACTGCCTCGTCTGTTCTCGCCATTTCAAGTCCACTTCGATATTTAACTTACTGCCACTTTATCATGTGAATGTTATTACTTTGCTTTTCTCTACATATGTTATGGTCCAAAATCGTTTGCCATCCTGTTTAGGCTGTCCATCAGCTGTATAAATGAATTATATTAAGAAGGATTGAAAATACGAAACAAGATAAAAGATAAAGCATTTGAAACAGAATGAGGAGATATGTCAGAGAACACAACAAATAGTGACTGAAGAGTTTGTCAAGATGGGAGCATGAAAGTGGCAAAAAGAAAGTTGATGATTGGTAAATCACAAATAGTACCTCTTAAAGAGCAAGATTGAACCATGATGCATGGTAGACAATCATTAAACTATCAGAGGAATCCATGCAGATCTCAGAAGCAAAAATAATCATATGGCTCAACAAATAAATCTTATTATGAGGAAATTGGAAATATCAGATGTCACACGTGAACAAGTATCTGCTGCACTCTGTATTTTGAAAACCAGGAATGCTACCGGCCTGGATGGATTACCTGTAAGCATCATAATTTATAGAGGTAGGACCAGATGTTCTAACAACATTCGCAGGCCTACTAAATACATTCCTACGCAGAAATTAAATACCTTAGGTGTGACCTCAACCATCCACTCATCCTTCCATTAAGAAAGGAAGACAACCCCGATGTGAAGGATCACAGACCAATACCTTTCGAATCGCATGTATATACAGTACATTGTTCACAGAGGCCTTATATAAACGAAGAATGAAACATTTTGAGCCCAACCATGTGAACCGACTGGTTTTAAATAATATTTTTCTGTGGACCACATACGTACAATCAGTCAGATTTGAGAAAGAAAAAAATACCTCTATTCCTGGCTTTTGTAGGCTATAAAAGGGCTTTTGTTTTATTAAATGGAAAATGATGCAGACATCGACTTATTCCTAACAAAACAAAAAATTGTTGAAGGAAAGTTATCTGGCAAATACGACAGGATATGTTTACCTAAGGCCACAATCGAGGGTGGTTTCGGATCAAAATGTGTTTTGAAAAACTTAATTTGGTAAATGAGAAAGTTTTCAACCAGTGCGTATTATTTGCCATGATGTTTTGAAAAACTTAATTTGGTAAATGAGAAAGTTTTCAACCAGTGCGTATTATTTGCCATGATCTTATGATGTGTGGGTCAAAACCATTATACGTACTGGTAAAGATAATGGAGCAAAAGGCTTAAAACGTGCACAACGCATTATGGAGAGTCACATACTGGCAATTACACAAAGAAAAAGAAAGAGAAAAAAACAGTACATAGATCAGGGAACACGTATAAATTAGAGACATAATTTTGGCAATTAAGTACAGTATTGTGGGTTTAGGCAAGACCAATAAAGGGGGTCACTGCTAAAAGGACGACCCTTGTGATGGAATGGCAGTCAAAGTAGTGTGCCCAAAAGGACATCCACTGCGGAGATGAAGTGACGAGATCAGGTGAGGTGCAGGTGTGAGATGGATTGTGGCATCGCCCGAACGTTAAGGGATGGTGACGACCTTCATATAGCAGTGGATATGCCATGGATGATGACAATGTATTCCATCGTGGATATCGTTAATTTAACCAGGAAAGCAGAGAGCATCACTGAGGATCCTACGCTGGAATCCTTGGCAAATTCCACGGAGTGTTTTGTTTGTGGTAGAAAACGCACGTACCCAGAGAAAACTTTCGCATTGGAAGGTCTAACACTCATAGAGAACGCATTTGCTGTACTACCATCTGCTGACCACCACGTCACCCAAGCAGGTTTGCGAGTTCCACAATTCTGTGCGGTCCACCAACCCGTGGCTCCAAGGTGATGGCCCATTCGGTACTGTGCAGAAGACTTCATGCAACGTTGTGCGCATGACCTGCAACTACAGTCGCATGTGCAACCAGAAACATTCCCACGACGTTGCAGACAACAACCAGAAGCTTTCGTGCTCATCTCCTTAATATATACGGTTGTGCAAGTCGAGATGACGCACACCATCCTCGTGATGCAAACAACCACAACACGTGATTTGTACACTGCTAAATCTCTGTGAACTCTCTTTGATTTGATGGAAAACAAAAGCGATTATGTGAAAAACCATAGCCTGGTCCCCACGGACAATGGGACGTTGTGAGTAGTACAGTTAGGGAATAGCTCATCACCTTCGTTGTTTCTCTGCAAATCATCTGAGTGCCACGTGGCCACGTGGTAACTCACTAATTGTATTTTCCCTTCAAATTAAAGTTTTCTTTTACATATTTTCTTTCTTTCATTTTACCTGATGTTTAAATAAATAAATATAGTTTCAAGTTAAAGTAAAATTTAATTTTACATTGCTCAGTACAAACGCATCGATAAACAAGTGCTCCCAGTTTGAGGACAAAAATAAAACCCAACACACCGTTAAAAGGACGAGCCTCAACCCATCACGCCAGCCGTGTTCACCTCTCGCTGCTTCACGACACAGAGAGAGAAGCAGCAGCAGACTGACGTTTAGGGCAGTAGCCCGCCTTCCTTTTATCTGGGCTGAGGGAAGGCGAGTGGAGAATGCTCCAAACGTTCGCCCGGGTAATGGTTGCCTCTTTTTCGAGGTCAGTGTTAATGGATGTCCGAGATGTTTTTTTGTGTCCTGTAATTGTACATCGCTGCCAAAGCAGTGTCTCGAATTGTATTTACAACTTGTAAGTGGAACCATTGAGTGAGTGTAGGATGATCACGGTGCACTTAACCCACGATGATTGGCTACCATAATAATACGTGGTCGTTAGGATTTAACATAGCTTGTCAATATTTTTGCCTTTCAAAGGTGGTGGCTAAACAGCTTCCGTGATGACAGCCGCCATTATAAAATCCGGTGAAAGCAGAGCGAGCAATTTTGTGGGGACTGGGATATTCTGCACCTCACTTGAGTTGTAGAATCCACCTAAAATGTTATATATAATCCCCAAAAATTACTGGACCTGGATGAAACGGATACAATGTGCAGTTTAATCGTCTTCCAAAATAGCAGTTGCTCATTGCATTGGGCCTTCTTTAATTAGAATGCATTGCCTGTGGCTACCACAATCCCTTATCTGCTAAGAGAAGCTGAAACAAGTTTACAAAAGGGATGGGTTCAAAAGGAATAAATTCAACATCCTTGTATTGCGTTGATATTATTTCCATTCCAAAAACATCAAGTGTGTGCACTTTTTTTAAACCTTATTTTTTTCTATAATTGACGTTAATTGGAGACCATATCTGTGTAAAAATGCAAATTTCTGCCATGTATGGTGCTTTAAGAGTTTACTGGTTGGGTTCATAAAGTGGTGATACTTTCCAGAAACATTGTGAATTAAACAGCTGCATCCGTACATAACACATGAATGCACTGTCATGAATTGCAATAAGCTTTAGTGAAATTCATATCCTAGCTATAGTAGTTTACTAGCAATGGCACGCATTTCTAGATATCGCAGATACACAGTTGTTGCTTAATATACAATTACAGTACTGTACTACTTTTAGAACCTAACACCATTATACTAAGATAATGTTTCTAAGAAAGCCATTTGCATGCTTGTATTTCCATTTTACATAGCTGTTTGTGATTAGATTGCAATTATATACTTTATATAAACTGTACATCATCCTCTCCTCCGGCAACATTCACGTAGTTGCTACGATTTCCCTGCTGGGCCTGGAGAGTGGTGGCAGGCTGCTGCTGGGTCTTCTCAAGTGAGGATTGGAGTTCCCTGTGCCGTTGGCGAGAATGGGGCCGAAGAGAATGGGTTTATCAACTATTAGCGCTGGTGTCACCATGTAGCCGCCCGCCCCGATGTCACCGCAGATGTGTGGTGCTCAATGTGGGGGGTTTTTATTTGGGGGGGGGGGAGCATGTGGAGCGTAGTTTACACAAATTTTGCCTGGTTTAATTTTGTTTAGTTCTTTAAGTAATCGGGGTAATTGTTTTGTCTGATTCATGCAGAGCAAAATAATAACGAATATACTAATAAAAAATACCCTTCTAGTACAATATAGAAAGTTAATTACCACAGCATATTATACAAAACAACCGAGATTTGGTCATTACATTTAAATGCTACTTTCGCCAGGTGAGTTCATATATTGTAAGCCCAAACAATGGCACATAATTGACTAAGCTTCATGTCCACACTACCAGAGCATGACTGATATGTCACAGAGACCTCGGGTCTATTTTTGGTGGTGGAAATGGTCATCTAATGTCCTAAAAAGAATAATTGCTGTATTAGATATATCCGGCTTTTTGGAGACTGCTAACAATGTCGTTACATTTCTGAAAAAAATAATTCTTACACATCCTTAAACATGGAATAATAAGCACACACAATAAATTAAGGGTTGACTATGCTAATAGGTGCTATATTCATCCAAGGCATTCGATCCCAAGGATTAGTCCTCTGTTACTGGCTACTATGTAACCGGTATTGACTTTGGGTTACATCGACTTACAGTATTATTTTAGGTAAATTAAGATGTAAACTTTTTGTTACATTTTTGACAGTAAACAAAAAGACTGGTTTATATGTATGCATTGTGTACACAAACACACATTCATGTGTATATATAAAGACCTGTTATAAAAACACAAGGTAGTAATGAGATATCTCCAGCAATTCCTAATTAACATTTACCTTACATGACAAAATGGCAACACGCGACATTTTACAATATACATTTTTACCGGTGCAAAAAAAACATTGCAAATTTTAACCGGACAATCGTCTACTGTTTCACGTTATTTTGAATGTCACACCAAGACGGTACCTTACCGCTGTCAAGATTTCCTTTTAAATTTAGAAAGATAACCTTGTAATTAGATGAGTCTCGCACAGTGTTACATTGTGACTGCTTTGAAACTGACCGGGTTTTTTTCTGGCTGATCAATTAGTATGCGCTTGTCCGTCATGGAGCACTTCAAAATTATTTACACTGTGCCTTTATTTTGTTTCAGGAGCACACGTGAATAATTTTGGAATGTACAATTTGTTCCACAATTGCATTATATGTAGGAAGGAGCCATATGGATCAATAACAGCATTGAAGTAAACACCCCCTCACCCCCCCCCCCCCATGAGAGGGAGAGTCTGCCTCAAGTGTGAGTTAACAGGGCTCGTGGGTACAGATTTGCAATTGCGACCACAATTGTTCTTCTTAACAGTAGGTCCCTAACGCTCCGAGACTTCGTCAGCCAATTATGAAAGTAAACCATACAAAAGCGGATTGCATGGCAGTTATTGCTCAAAGCTGTCTTTCCGAAGCCGTTTGCACTCGTACATGTGTGGAAGGTGGGCAGGTGATTCGGTTATTTGTAGAAGCTGCGTGCAATACCCCACAAGTCACCCCTAATCCCCACACCCTCATATTTGCTCACATTCCCATTGTAAACAATAGTTTGCTTTAAGTAGAATCTACTTTAACTTCACTGGGGCCTCCTTTCGTTGGCATGGGACGTGTGTGAGCTGGCTTTGTTTAAGTAATTTAAGTAACAGATATTATTTTGTGTTTAACTACTCAGTATATAAATACACAAACAAAGCAATTAACATCATCTTTGAAGAAGGGGTTTGTTTTTTTGTACACGAGTGAAAATGTAATCTTGAAGAGGATTGTGATAAAAACCGTAGTTCACCTCAGACCTCGGACTCCATACTGTGCTTGCCGCCGGCATGCCTCATGTTTGGGGTGTGGCTGTGAGGAGATTTACTTGCCCGCCCCGGCCCTTTCACATTCACGGGACCGTTGCTCAACTTACCCCCCGAGTTTAGCGGCCTGCCCAAAGTTGGCTGTCTGTGCCTCCTGATGTCTGGCACGTTGATATTTTCGTACAACATCTCCGTATCAGAGAACGCTTGCGTGTGCAAGTCCGATGCGTACGGCGTTTTGAGGGAGCCGAAAACATTGAGCTCGTTCTCAAGCCGACGGTGCGGTTTGACTTTAAAGCCTCGCAAGGAGTCGACGCTTCCTCCGGGGTCTGACTTGATAGCACAAAAATCACTCTTGCTAGCTGTGGAGTAATTGGAACCGATTGCTTGGTTGATGCAACATATATCATCCTGTCTACAGCGCAGCTCGGGGTTGGGAGTGATGCACGGGGGAGGCAGAGTGACTCCGTAGCAGCACTCCTCGTCCTCGTGCACGCAAGAGGCGTGCCGCTCCAGTGCACTTCGCCCCAATGTCACACTTGTTTGCTCGCCATCTGTTTTCCCAGCGCCACTGCCACAGGCACAGCCCGGGCAGCACTGGTTCAGGCAAGAACCTGCGCATTCATCCAGGCGCGATGGGCAATGCCTGTAGCACTCAGCCCTTGCGCTAGATGGCGGCTCTTGATATTTTACCTTGCAGATGCTGCACTCCTTCTCTGGCGTGTGGTGTGAGAGAACGGCGGCAGAGGTTATCTGTGCAGTCGCCCCGTGTTCGGGGATGCTGCTGCTTCTCTTGATCTGTATGCCAGGCTCCAGCATGTCAGACCTATACACGATCTCGCTGCAGAAAGACGGCCTCGCCTGGTTGTTCCAGTCTTCGGGCATCGCACGTGAAAGTGTGTTGAGAGTGGCCTTGCCATAAATCTCTTTGTCTTGGCTTGAACCCCGACTGGGAATCCTTCCCACATCTTTGTAGTCTCTTGCGAGTTTTCCATACGGTGTGCTCTTTGGTCTGCCGCTGCGCTTTCCAGAGTGGTACTGGCTGTTGCATTCGCTGATGTCGTCGATATCAGTGTTGTTCCCGTGAATGCTCTCAACGTCGGTGTTGTAAGTCAACGCTGGAATCTCAAGCCGAGTTTGAGGAATTTCACACATTGGAATGAAAGATTCCCCGACGTCCCGCTGGCTGCTTTTGAAATCCAAGCAAGGCGAGGCAGACAGCATTTCCCGCGACTTGGCGACGGGCCGGTGGACATCTGGGTGCGCGCCAAAGTGATGCAAATTGGTTGAGATCTGCGCCGGGCTGTGGTCCCGTGGAGTGTAGCTCCCGGTGGCGGCAGAAGCTGCAGCGTTGGCTTCCATGAAGCGCTGGTTGTTTTTGAGGTACGGGTACGACATCTCGGCCTCGCTCACGTAGTCCTCCTGGTAGGCCGGGTCGCGCGCGAGCTGCACTTCTGCAGCGGCCGCGGCGCAGCGGTTCCACTGGTCGCTGTTGTTGAGTGCGGCTCGCCCTGTCAGGTGCTCTGTGGCCGATTTGTCGGCGGCCACCGAGCAGGCCGGCTGGCCCGCCCTGTTGACACGAGTGGTGGCTGCGTCGGGCCCATTCACCTGCGTGAGGCTTGCCATGTTCCTGGCCACCGTCAGGAGGCCCATGATGCTTGAGTTCTTCTTGTAGGCATTTTTGGCCATCCTGTGGAAGTCGTCCTTGTCCTTGGTAATCTTGATTCCATGTACGCAGCTGTAAATGGCCTAAAAACGAACCAGATTTGTTTTATTGTTAAAGGATATATTTCTACAAAGCATTGGTGAAACATTCTACCTGTGGAAGGTATACATTTTTTACCTTAAAAAAATATAACTAAAAAAGCTAGCAGCCAAGATGTAAATCTAGCTGTAAACAGTCACTAGAATTATGATAACACTCCTGCTTTCTTAGTGATGTGAAATAAATGTCATGACCCGTGTAATGTGTGTAAAGAATGTTAAGGAAAGAAATGTGTGAAAATGTTTGAAATGGCCTTTTTTAAACTTTGATTGAGAAAATAAATCGTTGGCTGTCTCCAGTTTGAAAATCACTTTTGAATACTGTGGTGACACATGGGTGTTTCTCAAAATAGCGAAATAGAAACTAAATAAATGTATGAACGTCCAATTAAATACTCAATTTATATTTCGTGAGACATGGAGTAAATACAATACTGCAATCTTCATGACAAATAATTAAAGACTGTTTTACTGCATGCCTCTCATCACTTGCATATAAATGGTTCACGAATTAAGATCACTGGGAACAGAATGAGGCCAAAGAGAGTCATGTGGGTAGGTGGGCGGGCGGGTGGGCGAGAGGGAGGGATATTAAACTTTAAAAAGGTGAATGTAAACCCCAAGTAATTTAAATAATTAATGTTTAAAACCAGACACTGAAACAGGTTTCAACGAATTTCCCAGCGTCGGTCACCGCCGCTGCCATGGCCCCTCTGAGTGTATCTGCTTAGGGACCTGGCAGCAGCGCTGATTGGCTGCCATGGGGTCATGCAGGTGCGTTCCAGCCGTTCGCACAGAGCGCGACTGCAAGCTGGCCCCAACCCTTCCGCTCGCCTCTGTGGATCCCAGCTTGTAGTGGCATTTAGGTTATTTTAAAATCACGGTAATTAACAATTAAAATGAAACTTATCGTATCGGTCAGCACCTTATCTCTATATATTATTCTATACGAGCTCCAGGGGACTGAACTGTCATAGCTGCATTTTGCCCCACCTATTGATGAATTACATTACAGAGACATGCAAAGTGCACTTGGCAAAAAAATACAAGGCTGTATTACAATTCGAAAAGAATATTGCGCAAGAGCTTCTTTCATATGGCTGATGTAGATGCAGAGCAACGACTACAATTTCACATTCAGGTGGTCAAGCCAGACAACCGCGTCAGGAGCAGCGGAGTGTATTGCTGCAATGTCTGCTTCATATTTGTGGATTGGGTATTGCATTGTTATATGGTGCACGGTCTGTTCTGGATGACCACAGTCGCACACTGTAGAGTTTAAAATTTCAATTTGTGCCATAGTTTGTGCGGATGAGCTGTACAAGACCTCAATGGGCGCAATGGTGGAGCACTGTGGGTAATACAACGAATGCGTTGTTTTGTACACTACATTTTGTGCTGATAGCCCATACTGTTCAGAATCTTGTAATAATCTTAATATTTTCTTTTATATGGCATCGCCCAAAGGCCTCAGCAACTCAAAAAAGGGCCTCGCATTGCATCTCATTAGAAGCTGACTCCTCAGTGGCAGCTGTCCCTGTTCGGCACAAAGTCTGCCAGAAGGGAGCGATGATCGCTATGTGTAACCCTGATCGAGCACTAAAGCGACGGTATTCATCTTGCATGCCTGACTCTGCCAATTAGGCCCAAACTGATTAGTCTGTGTAAGCAAATGCTGCCGGTTGATATAATTTTGGAAGGCAGGCGACTGCAATATATCATTGGGTTGCCACCCTTCCGGGGTTTGACCTGGACAGTCCAGGGAGAATTGGCCTCTGTGTTTGGGCGGCGAGAGTTGATTTGGAAAAACATCTGGTACCGGTCTTGCTCCATTGAACCTTAGTGCAGTTCACTGCACGGTTTTGAAGATAAAACTACACAGTGAAATATGTCTGGGTTTGGTCGACACTGGAAAACGTAGCAACATCCCTAGTTTATGTGCAGATACAGAGCAACAGTTTATTTCGTATCTCATTGGCACGATTCCTATCCACCTTCAGTAAATCTCTGAGCTACATTCTCTGCAGTTTAATTTGTGTCCTTCAAACAATCGTGTCCCCCCCCACCCAACTTACTATTTGTGACTTTTGAAAAGACGACCTTGGTTAATGAAGGCAGTGCACTGGTGGGCCTGAATTGTAATTTTTAAATCCTTACATAATGCCAACTAATATGCAAAAGATCAGAAACATGGACATTGACAAGGAAAATGGAACAAAAGCTGAAACGTTAATGAAGCGTGGATAGAAGCAAGCTTGGAATGACACGGAAAGCCAAAAAAGGGACCACAAAGATCAAAGAACGAATGCAAATCAGAGACATCTGATTGACTAATGAGGAAAGTAAGTGGGTATTGGGCAGGGCAAACCACTGGAAAGGAGAAAAGCCAATGACTCTGTATGGTGGATTACTGTGAGATGGATTCAGGAATCACAGACCATGGGGGACAGCAACAGGTTGGGGGGGGAGCGTTTCATCCAGCAGTGGCTAGATCATGGCTGGTGACGATTTAGCGTGTGATCGATAAAGATGTTCTTTGGGTCTTTCGGTAAAGCCGCATAGATAAGTTCAAAGAAAATAACAAAAAACTACGACGTTTCGATCGCAAAACAAGCGTTCGAAACGTCGTATTTTGTCGTTATTTTTTGTTATTTTCATTGAACCTATCTACGTGCCTTTACCGAAAGACCCAAAGAATATGAACTCCTGCAGTCAGAAAAGATTTAAGTCAAGATCTAATGATACAGATGCTTACCGTGATAATTACGATGATGACAATTACAATACAGACGGTGATGTTAGGGGATACTTATTCCAGGTCCCTTAAATATTTAGTCAGAGTGCATTACCCAGCAGCAGACACCACATTAGAGAGTACTCACCGATGTGAGTGCTGTATAGTCAGAGTGCACTACCCAGCAACAGACACGACACTACAGAGTGCTCACCGATGTGAGTGCTGTATAGTCAGTGTGCGCTACCCATCAGCAGACACTTATGGTGCATGCTGATGGTCGTTTGCCTGCCGTACAAGTACAAAGGGCCCCTATGCACACAGCAGTCAATATTTGAAAACCTCTCGTCGGCATCAGAGCGATTCATTCATTAATCGATTACCACTGATTCTTCCACTCACAACATAGGCATAAAATTGCGCGCGCATAGCATTCGATTACGATTCATAAAATGTGAACGTAAATGTAACGTGGGGGGTAATTAGACAAATATGACCGTGCGAATGAGATGAGACCAACGAGACCGAAATGAAATCGTGATCATCCCCTCACCAAAATCATAACAATAATTGTAATCGTCATAATAAGGGAATACGTGCGAGAGCAAGGTGCGTAAGGGCCACCACCTGTGTGGGTAGAGCCTGGGCAAGTGGCAATGCACGTGAACACAGAGTACCGGCGATCGCTTGGCGGCGGCGGCGTGGTTTTGAGAGGTAAATCACCCTCACAAAAGGTGCGTCGTTTTCAATTTCAGATAAGGGCGGTTTAAAGACCACACGACGGAGATTATCCAGGTGTTTTTATTAAAGAGATAAGAGGAGCCACTCGATACATTAATTCTGATATCAGGTGATATCCCGTGGCGAACTGCGATTAAAGTCGAATTATAATTTGCGATGCCCGAAAAGTTTTTCAATCGCGCCGCGGTTTCACCGTGCATGCTGCAAGTCGACGTGCGTCACAGACCGATGCGGTTTCGGAGTCGACAAAGCAATCACCGGAATGCTGCAGCAGTGCAGGATTGTGAGCAGATATGACAGAACTGATCAAATGTGTGGCGTGTCCTCATTCCTTGCTGTTAACAGGGGGTCAGCGTTTGTCTTACATTTTGTCAATTTAAAGTGGGATCATGTATGTGTGAATACTGCATATACCGTACCTCTATATATGTATATGTTCACATATGTATATTTTATAGTGTATATGTACACATGCATACACCTATATATGGGTTGGAACGATTTCACCCCCACAACCCATTCTCTCCTCAACCACCTCTCTGCTTAACTATTACAACCTCCCGCCATCACCCCGCCTTCCTTACCACCCCTTACAACGTTACCCCTCACCCTTGTGCGCCTAATCCCCTCCTAATCACCCCCTAACCACCCCCCCCCCCCCTTCTTGTGGTTGCACGGGTCAGGTAAACCCTACAATACATAAATCAAAGGACATCGACTTGTTCACCCGCAATGCGACACGTGTTTCTGCAAGCTTATCAGCCGACAACAGTCGATGGCTCGATGTGTTATTGCCACCCCAAGAGTACGTTACTTTCACAAGTGCTCGTGGCTGCATTTAAACAACGCGGCAGTGTTCGTATTTATTGGAAACACTTTTACTACGGCAGAATAAATGTGGAGTGGTGGGGGGGGGTAGCACGACTCACCCTGCTGACGATGAACAGCAGGCCGGGCTTCTTGGCTGGCTCGGGCTTGGTCCAGTGGCGCCCAAAGCGGTAAAAGAAGTTCTCGCTCAGGAAGACGAGGAAGCTGAGGCACATCGCCACCAGCAGCATGAAGAATACACCGGCCATATTGTCGATGTCCAGCTTGCTGCTCATCACCTCGTTCTTGTCGTAGAGACAAACCCCGGAGAGCCAGTTCTTACCCAGTTCGTCCATCTCCCCTGCATACTCGCACGCAATGCACAGGCTTAAAGAGAGAAGACTCAACTCCATCCATCAACAACAACTGATATTTACCACGAAGTGACAGTGACGTCACCATGGCGCTTGTGCCAGGCTATGTGCATGTTAAGGCCACGTGAAGTGTCGAACGCCCGCTGGCTCGTTGTGAGCGTCGCTCCTCTGCCCTCCGTTGTTCCAGAAGGACGACTGCCTCCTACTGCCCAGCAGCGTCCTTCACGAGCCTCCTCCACAGAGGCCAATCTTAACACCGCTGGTGTTATACTCATTGATTATTTCGGTAAAGTCACGTATGTAGAAATAAAATAAAACATAAAATAGATCACGACGTTTCGAACGCAACACAAGCGTTCGTCCTCAGGTGAAAATGGCATAAACCACACAGCGAGGGAACACACAGAGGGACATCACACACAGAGCACACCGAGAACGGCAAACTGCACGGAGGCAAATACAGCTGGTATTAATCATCGACAAGTCCACACAGCTCCACATTCTCCTGTACAACATCTTTCCATCTAATCTTGATTTGAAGCTTTCGTTACTGCAGGAATCCATACTCTTTGGTTCTTTCGGTAAAGTCACGTAGGTATAAAATAAATTAAATCACGGCGTTTCGGGCGCAACACAAGCGTCCGCTATCAAGTGGGAAAGCATGGTCTGCTGCTGAGGCAGACTGTTTTAAAAGGTTTGAAATGGGCATCTCTTGAGAAAGGTTAAGCGACTCGATCAGGTGAGCCTTCCATATGTTCTATAGCCCGTGCCACGCCCATTTAGACCCCTCTATCCAGCCGAACAAAAGCGGTTTCAGCATGCGATAGCTGGACATGCGGACTACATGACCCAGCTCCATCCATCTCCCCTGTACACTCACACGCAATGCACAGGAGTAGAGAGAGAAGACTCAGCTCCATCCCTCTCCACCACATATTCCCACGCAATGCACAGGCTTATAGGAAAAAGACTCAGCTCCAACCATCTCCCCAGGACGCATCGTGATTCTATCTACCCATAGTGATTCCATCAAGCAAATTACGGTCATTTTCGCAGCAGCGGCTTTTGACTGGTCATCGAACATAGACGGTGACCGCCTCGCTCACTTTCGGAAACGCTTCTGCGGCTGTCTGGAACGCTCTTCCTTCAAATATTAGGAAGCCACTGGGAGTGATGCACTTTTAAATAATTGAGATTGACAAACGAATATCTTTCTAACTGCTTTTTGTGTTTAGTTTGTTGTCCATCCCCCCGCACCTCCGATTAGCATGGTTGGCTACGTATGGTGCGAACGAAGTTCAACATATTACGTACATGTCAGATCACCACATTTCAAGTTTATTTTGTGTAACCAGGTGACAACTCAAGCGACCAGGATGAGTGAGCTGGGTCACCAAATTGCTAAAAGCAAAAACAAATCAATGTTTTACAGCAACGAAGGAACTCGAAATCACAGAAAACAGAGGTGTGTCACGAGATAAATGTAATATTGCATGGACATAAATGAATGTAAAACAATACATTCCCTGTAGTAAACTCCTTGCCTCGGGCAGATTATCTCAGACTGATCACAGTACAATTACAAATTAAGCTACATAGACATTGAACAGACATAAGGTGACTTGTGCTAAGTATCATCATCAGTAATTGTATAACTATTGGTTGGGAATGAAGGCTGCCCCATGCCCTAACCAATCGTCACAGCTCGGAGATGCCATAGTGGGGGGAGGGGGCGCGACTCACCCTGCTGATGATGGAACCGCATCGTCACATCAGCAAATGAATTAATTCGATGGCAATTTTTAACTGCTACAACAAAACTCAAGTGACTACAATTGCGACTGCAATGCTGGTAAAGCACTGCTCCATGGGGTTACCCACAATATTGAGAGGGAAAAAAGAAGCCCAGCGAGAGATAGGAATAGGAGGAATGATGTACCTTCTGGAAGTGAATGTCACAAAAAGGGCCAATTGAAGACCGGCAGATTAACGTGGAAACCATAATGAATTTTCCAATCTCCTCCTCCTCTTATCTACGAATAAAATTAATGGATTAAAGAGTGGACGCCCGAAACGCAGCGTTGCTGTAGTTATGCAAATGTGTGGCACGTTAGGGGGGAGCGGGGTGGCTCCGTGCACCCCGTCTGGGGTAGGAGCTGGGGGGCCATGCCACGTCGCCAGGGTAACTCGACCCAGCTCCCGGTCTGAGTGACCTTCTCACGCAAAAGCCAAGCAAGAAATCCGGGGGCTTGAGTCACTCTCTCTCCCCCTGCTCTCCCCACTCCCCTACCTTCCTCTCCCCACTCCCCTACCTTGCTCTCCCCACTCCCCTACCTTGCTCTCCCCACTCTCCTACCCACTTTCCCCACTCCCCTACCTTGCTCTCCCCACTCTCCTACCCACTCTCCCCACTCCCCTACCTTGCTCTCCCCACTCTCCTACCCACTCTCCCCACTCCCCTATCTTGCTCTCCCCACTCTCCTGCCCACTCTCCCCACTCCCCTACCTTGCTCTCCCCACTCCCCTACCCACTCTCCCCACTCCCCTACCTTCCTCTCCCCACTCTCCTACCCACTCTCCCCACTCCCCTACCTTGCTCTCCCCACTCTCCTACCCACTCTCCCCACTCCCCTACCTTGCTCTCCCCACTCTCCTACCCACTCTCCCCACTCCCCTATCTTGCTCTCCCCACTCTCCTACCCACTCTCCCCACTCCCCTACCTTGCTCTCCCCACTCTCCTACCCACTCTCCCCACTCCCCTACCTTGCTCTCCCCACTCCCCTACCCACTCTCCCCACTCCCCTACCTTCCTCTCCCCACTCTCCTACCCACTCTCCCCACTCCCCTATCTTGCTCTACCCACTCTCCTACCCCCTCTCCCCACTCCCCTACCTTGCTCTCCCCACTCCCCTACCTTGCTCTCCCCACTCCCCTACCTTCCTCTCCCCACTCGCCTACCTTCCTCTCCCCACTCCCCTACCTTCTCTCCCCACTCTCCTACCCCCTCTCCCCACTCCCCTACCTTCTCTCCCCACTCCCCTACCTTGCTCTCCCCACTCCCCTACCTTTCTCTCCCCACTCCCCTACCTTCTCTCCCCACTCTCCTACCCCCTCTCCCCACTCCCCTACCTTCTCTCCCCACTCCCCTACCTTGCTCTCCCCACTCCCCTACCTTGCTCTCCCCACTCCCCTACCTTCCTCTCCCCACTCGCCTACCTTCCTCTCCCCACTCCCCTACCTTCTCTCCCCACTCTCCTACCCCCTCTCCCCACTCCCCTACCTTGCTCTCCCCACTCCCCTACCTTGCTCTCCCCACTCCCCTACCTTCCTCTCCCCACTCCCCTACCTTCTCTCCCCACTCTCCTACCCCCTCTCCCCACTCCCCTACCTTGCTCTCCCCACTCCCCTACCTTCCTCTCCCCACTCGCCTACCTTCCTCTCCCCACTCCCCTACCTTCTCTCCCCACTCTCCTACCCACTCTCCCCACTCTCCTACCTTGCTCTCCCCACTCCCCTACCTTGCTCTCCCCACTCCCCTACCTTCCTCTCCCCACTTCCCTACCTTCCTCTCCCCTCTCTCCTACCCACTCTCCCCACTCCCCTACCTTGCTCTCCCCACTCCCCTACCCTGCTCTCTCCCACCCTGCCCCCCCTCCTACCCTGCTCTCTCCTACCCTGCTCTCCCCTCTCTCCCACCCTGCTCTCCCCCTCCTACCCTGATCTCTCCTCTCTCTCTCACCCAGCTGTCCCCACTCTCACCGCATCCTCTCTCAGCACGCCTCTCTACATCTCTCACCCAGCTCCCCCCTATCTCATCACAAATTACAAATCAGGTAAAAATAACGCTGTCGCCAACATTATTCATGTATATTGTCCTTCAAATAGATTGGATAAATACAGGCATACAAAATAATTTTAGAAAATATAATCACCTGAGATTTGCTGATGACAAAGAGCATGTTCGAGCACTTTTGGTAACCTGATGTTCATAACGTGAAGCGACATAACAAGGTGCCTAAATAAGAGCGTTTGTAATCTGCTATGACATATGGATCAGTAACACGGAGACTGCCAAAGAAAATGAAACAAGCTGAACGGTGTGCCCAGAATCATACTCCGAGACAGAAAGAGTGTTAGGAACAGCAAGTGGGGGTGTGGGAAGATCACATGGCCAGCAGGGGTGATGGTCAATGGTTAAGATTGGTTTACCAAATGGCAGCCAAGGGGATTAAATGTTCCCAAGAGGATGATAGCTACGTGGATGGCACCAGGGGATTAGTTCATGCGCAGGAGCGAGACGGATTATGTCATCCCAAGACCATTACCAACCTGCAGCGTGTACAAAATTATTTTTGCCACGTATCGTGACGAGTACTGCAAGATCTGACCATGTCCGTCCACTGCTCGCCGAGCTGCATTGGCTTTCGGTTGCCGAACGAATACGTAAGGTCGCACTCATTACACAGTGCTTGCCATAAATGAGCCACAATACCATGGTGATCTCGTCAAGAAACGTAAACCATCACGCGAACTCCGGTCATCCATTCGGCAGCTTTGGCTGGTCATCAAACAAAGATGGTCATTGCATTGCGCGCTTTCAGATGCATTTCTGCAGCCGTCTGAAACGCTCTTCCTTCCGATATTAGGAAGCCACTGGAGCTATGCACTTTTAAATGTAGATTGAAAAATAATTTCTTTAGAACTGCTTTTTGTGTTTAGTTTGTTGTCCTTCTCCCGCACCTCTGATTAGCACGGTTAGCTACGCATGGTGCGAAAGAAGTTCAACATACACATACATACATGATGGATGATGGATGGTGACGACGAGGAAAGGGAGGCCTTCACTCAACCTTGGAGCAGTGGCGTGATCATGGCTGTTGAAGACGATGAAATTAATGAATGTATTGAAGGAGGGTTTTTTTGTTACACGGTTTGTGAGCACAGGACCAAAGGCTCAAAACATCAAGCATCCAGGAACAAACAACACTTTCAAAGTTGTAATAAATAAGAGTGTAACACGTTTTTTGAATTAAGCAAAGTGGAGCAGTGTGAGATAAACAGCAGAAAGAGAAGTTTCGTGATTTGCAGTTTGGTGAGAGGATTAGTTGGTGAGCCAGTGAGTGAGTGGGTGAGTGATTGGTTGAGTGAGTGATCTTGTGAGTGAGTGTGTTCTTAGGACCTGGAGTCTGGTGGTAGAGCATAATATAGATGGGGTGACTGGTAGACCGAGCGCTCAACATCGGTGGAGTAATCGATATCAGTAGTGGAATTAATTTTAGTCCTGTGAATATAAACACAGGCAAATGATTGGACTTATGTACGTTGAACTTATTTCACACCATACATAACCATGTGTGCGAGTTAAGGACAATAAACTAAACACGAAAATAAATTCTAAAGATATTAGTTTTCAATATAGATTATTTAAAAGTGCATAGCTCCTGTTGGCTTCCTAACATCGGAAGGAATAGCGTTCCAGACGGCCGCAGAAATGCATATAAAAGCGTGCGATGCAGTGATCGTCTTTGTTAGATAGCCAGCCAAAAGCCGCTGCTGCTGCAAGGTGACCCGGAGTTCGCGTAATGATGGTTTATGCTACCTTGACGAGATCAGCAAGGTATCGTGGTTTATTTGTGGCTCATTTGTGGCAAGCACTTTGCACGTCGTGAGATACAAAATGCGACGGACAAGCGGCGGAACTCACCGTCGCCAAAGAACTGCAGCAGGGCCAGGTCAATGGACCGCTTCCACTTGGAGCTCTTCTGCAGCGCGATGCCGTAGCCCGTGGTGGCGAACACCTTGCCGCTGCCGATGGTCACCAGCTTGCACCCCTCGTCCTTGGCCGCCATGTAGTTGAGCACCGCGGCGTCGTAGATGAACGCGTCCAGCTTGCTGCAGTCATAGACGCGGTGTTTTATTTGTTGTTGTAAAGTTTGGCGATTGTTTCGGTTAAAAACAACTAAGTTCATTTTGTTTAACCGGGGTGAGAACTCGACGGAGCATTGTCTCGTTTGTAAACGAGTAACCCTGAGTCACCCAAATCACAAAAGTCAAACATAAAAACGATTCAGAAAGTTTGCTTTGCATTTACATAATAATGTGAACAAGCAACTTTCTAAATGACATAACAATAACAATAGTTACCCACAGCCCTTTGCCATTCCACTGTTAGATGAAGGCCTACCCATGCTGTGTTTGTCATGGGACGTTCTTTGACCATACTTCACCACACAAGTCAGCGCGAATTGGTCAAGTGTGGGATCACCGAAAAAGTTCACATGTCACCCGTCCCTAATATGGACACTGTGTCACTGCTTATCGACACATTCGCCAATAACTTTTGCGTGTTTTTTGTTATTGTGCTTGCGCACCGCTGCCGTTATGCAGCATCACAAAATGAATTCGGGATCCTAGGGTAATAGGCGCTTTTCGCTTTCACCCTGATTCTCCAAAGCCTCTACGCTTCGTGGCATTGGAAGGCTACCGCTATCCTCGGCTGCCCGTGAACCTCAGACTTCTCCTGTATGCTCAGCAAAGCGGAACGGAGCGATCACAGCGAGCTTTCTAAGAGGTTCTAGGTAGGTGCAAGACCTTTGTCGCACCTCCATGCTTTAGACTCAGCGGAACTTAGCCCCCTTTGATTGTTTTTATTTGCAACAAAAACATGGGCCTGGTACAACACGTTGTCGCTGTTCAATTGGCGAGCGTGGGGACGGGGGGGGGGGGCAAAAAAATCCACGGGAATTTCTGCCCGGCGCGTCGAGGACAGAGTCATTAGGACAGGTGAAATCGTTCGGGGGGAGGGGGTGCTGTTAGTCCCAATCACGTGGGGGAGGGGGATCCCGCGTAGGGGGAACTGTGAGGATTTTTATGGGGTGGGTGGGGGTGGGGAAGGGGGGGGGATAATCAGCATAGTATGGGAATACCGGGGATAGAACGGGCAGGGGAGAGGGGGGGGTAAAGCAACATTCTACAAATCAAATAATATACACGCATGGGTATCGGTCTGCCTTTGCTCCGAGGTTCGCCTCCTCTCGTCTGTCGAGGGGTCCGCCCCTCTTTTAACCCCGTCCCTGTCTCCCACGTACCAGCAACCTCTTCACCCATCCCTCTTATTTTTGGACTTTGCAGGAAGAGGGGGACCACCTGGTCTCAAATTCCCAGTCCTTAACTTTAAAGCTTGTGGCTTAAATGCTCGATACCCGCATGGACTCGCTGCACTTACCCTTTTCTTTTAATTAAACAAGTCAAGTCTTTATTATAGCGACGTGAGTGGGCAACAACAAACCCGGGTAACTATGGCAACTGCCTCCCGCTCCAACTTGCACTTACCCTTTCTTAAGGCTACGCAAGGCCTCGGCCACGTTCTTCTGGTTGTAGCGGGACATATACGCATGCATCTCGGGGTAGTTGTTTCGGATGTTGCGCTCCGTGCTGCCATTGGGCACCGTGCCAAAGCGAAATGTCTGGGACTGCTGATCCGGCTTCTGAAACTGTAAGGGAGAGACAGAAGCAAGCAAAAAGGGGCAGTAAGCACAAAAGTTGGGCCCTTGTGCTCAAACGGTGGGACCCTAATGCCACATCTCACTCGCTGACACACTGGCTGAGGGGTATTTTAGGCTGGGAGATTGCTGATGGCAAAACACACAGAGCCATGGCTAGGCTTAAATGCCAACCTGCCAGCAAACTAAACTAAAAACTTAATTTGACCTCTCTTGCCAGTATCAAAATATAAGAATAGGGAATAGGTATTACCCTTCCTTGCAATAAAACAGGTGTTAAGATGTTAAAACACCAAATTGAAACCTTTTTCAAGGAATCAAGTCTGCATTAACCGCACACAGTACTTGCGTTGAACATTTTCTTTGTGCTGTTCGCCTTTTGGCGTGCTCTGGTCTAACACTGTTTGAGACTAGGCTCTAAAGAAAGCTGTCTCTGGTGTAGACCAATCAGTTTCAAAGACAATGCATATACTACCAGAGCATGTTTTTTGTGTTTACATGTTCACCACAAGTATATGTGGTTAATGCAGACATGATTCCTTGCAAAAGGTTTCAGTTTGGTGTTTTAACATCTTAACACCTGTTTTATTGTCAGAAAGGTTAAAACCAATTCTTAAATAAACTAAAAACTATGTTTGACCCCATTGGAACCTCATTTGCCAGTAAAAAATATGATAATTGGTTTTTTTTACCCTTCTATCTGGCAACAAAACTGACACTTTTTTTTACAAGGAGTCATGTTTGCATAGACCACAATACCTGCAGTCATAATGCAAAAAAAACATAACTCTGATAATGTGCACTGTCCTTGAAGTTGATTGGTCCACACCCGAGACAGCTTTCCTTAGAGCCTAGTCTCACATGGGTTGGACCAGATGGCGCCTTTTGGCATCAGTTTTGTTGCCAGATAGAAGGGTAAAAAACCAATTATCAACTATTTTTTATTTTACCAGGTAAGGCCAACTAAGCTACAGTGAGGGAAAAAAGTATTTGATCCGCTGATTATTTTGTACGTTTGCCCACTGACAAAGAAATGATCAGTCTATAATTGTAATGGTAGGTTTATTTGAACAGTGAGAGACAGAATAACAACAACAAAATCCAGAAAAACGCATGTGAAAAATGTTATAAATTGATTTGCATTTTAATGAGGGAAATAAGTATTTGACCCCTCTGCAAAACATGACTTAATACTTGGTGGCAAAACCCTTGTTGGCAATGACAGAGATCAGACGTTTCTTGTAGTTGGCCACCAGGTTTGCACACATCTCAGGAGGGATGTTGTCCCACTCCTCTTTGCAGATCTTCTCCAAGTCATTAAGGTTTCGAGGCTGACGTTTGGCAACTCGAACCTTCAGCTCCCTCCACAGATTTTCTATGGGATTAAGGTCTGGAAACTGGCTAGGCCACTCCAGGACCTTAATGTGCTTCTTTTTGAGCCACTCTTTTGTTGCCTTGGCCGTGTGTTTTGGGTCATTGTCATGCTGGAATACCCACCCACGACCCATTTTCAATGCCCTGGCTGAGGGAAGGAGGTTCTCACCCAAGATGTGACGGTACATGGCCCCGTCCATCGTCCCTTTAATGCGGTGAAGTTGTCCTGTCCCCTTAGCAGAAAAACACCCCCAAAGCGTAATGTTTCCACCTCCATGTTTGACGGTGGGGATGGTGTTCTTGGGGTCATAGGCAGCATTCCTCCTCCTCCAAACACGGCGAGTTGAGTTGATGCCAAAGAGCTCCATTTTGGTCTCATCTGACCACAACACTTTCACCCAGTTGTCCTCTGAATCATTCAGATGTTCATTGGCAAACTTCTTGAGCAGGGGGACCTTGTGGACGTTGCAGGATTTCAGTCCTTCACGGTGTAGTGTGTTACCAACTGTTTTCTTGGTGACTATGGTCGCAGCTGCCTTGAGATAATTGACAAGATCCTCCCGTGTAGTTCTGGGCTGATTCCTCACCATTCTCATGATCATTGCAACTCCACGAGGTGAGATCTTGCATGGAGCCCCAGGCCGAGGGAGATTGACAGTTCTTTTGTGTTTCTTCCATTTGCGAATAATCGCACCAACTGTTGTCACCTTCTCATCAAGCTGCTTGGCAATGGTCTTGTAGCCCATTCCAGCCTTGTGTAGGTCTACAATCTTGTCCCTGACATCCTTGGAGAGCTCTTTGGTCTTGGCCATGGTGGAGAGTTTGGAATCTGATTGATTGATTGCTTCTGTGAACAGGTGTCTTTTATACAGGTAACAAGCTGAGATTAGGAGCACTCCCTTTAAGAGTGTGGTCCTAATCTCAGCTCGTTTTCTGTATAAAAGACACCTCGGAGCCAGAAATCTTTCTGATTGAGAGGGGGTCAAATACTTATTTCCCCCATTAAAATGCAAATCAATTTATAATATTTTTGACATGCGTTTTTCTGGATTTTGTTGTTGTTATTCTGTCTCTCACTGTTCAAATAAACCTACCATTCAAATTATAGACTGATCATTTCTTTATCAGTGGGCAAACGTACAAAATCAGCAGGTGATCAAATACTTTTTTCCCTCATTGTAGAATGTTAACGACTGTCTCAGGGCTGCACACAGTAGATGAGCACTACCTCAATGCCTATTTGAGCATTTTAGGGAAAATGATTAAAACACAAACCTTGCATACCCTACAGTCTTTAGAATTTTCACTCCACTCAATAATTTTCCATCTGCAACGCTTCACAATTGTGAAGCATAAATTCTTATTTTAAAAAAATGGCATTTCGTCACAACCGGGTCAACAATAAAATAAAAAAACTAACTATTTAGAAACATGTGGTTTTATTTAAAGTGGTCATGTAAATTTCATCAATATACTCCACTAGGAATCTACATCTTTTGTTTCTAAATCATTAACAGTGCTTTGTTAGAGACACATTATAGGCTAATGTGTCGGGCAAGAGGGCAACAAATTCCATTTCCTAATATCTTGGGCTTCTAAATGTTTTTTGACGTTTTATTCTTTTTTTTAAAAGAGTGTTAACAACAAAGGTTACCAATTTCACATTTGTTATTTGTAAACATTGAAAGTTCTAAAATATCTCCCATTTTACGCCAATTTAATTTGGAATTGCATGGATATTATTCACTGGACGGTAAAATTGCATCGACCTTGCAGATTGCAGCAAACTAACGCAGGGTTGCTTTGTTATCCACAGGATATTTAGCAATTTGTGGTGCTGCACGCCCTGCATATGGCTTCTCTTTCAGCCGCTCATGCATTGGATTCGGCGACGCGAGGGGTAGCAGGGTCAAGCTTCTCGTGAAACACTTTATTACGCTTCGTACTTGCCCCGAGCTACATTCTCCCAAGCTCCGCTCTCTAATCAGCACTGTCAGCGTTTGTGGCGGGATTTCTCCTCCTGCTCTCTGCTGTTAGGCGAGGGGTCTGCTCCGCAGGTGAGGCTTTTACTGCATGCCCCGGCTTGCCTGCTATACATTTCCACACAATGATAAACCACTTCGTTGAACTATCACTTGTGGCCAGGTCCCTTCTGAAAAAATAGCATATGGCTGTGGGCATTACCTGGTACAATAAAACATGTTTTTTTTTAATAGTTTAGCTGCTGGCAGCTCGGTCTAAAAATGAGCGAATTCTCGCGAGCCCAGTTCACCACCATGGCCGTCATAGTTGTACATTGGCACGGCGGTCGATTCGGCCTTGAGCCGGGCTGTGGTTAAGCTTTCGCTGCTGCATCGCGAGTCTATTTTATTTGATGCATACGGTATTGGGGTAATTTCTCCCACCATTTACACGAATGTATTGTGCTTCAGATATCTCTGACTCACTCCTAATTATCAATACCGAGGCACCGATTTAGAAACAGTAGCAAAATAAGTGTGCTGCGTGCGTGATTTTTTATATTTGTTTTCTTTTCATCATAATCAGTTAAGACTAGCTTTAAAAAAATACATATTTTTGTTACTAATTAGGTTACGCAGGATTTAGGAAAGGGTTTTCTACCATCAACCGCATACATACTATTCGTAACATTCTGGAAAACACCAATCAATTAAAAATATCCGTTGCATCTAGCCTTTGCAGACTATGAAAATAAATTTGATTTAGTACAAATTGTAGCAGTCACCCGCTCTCGTAAACTAGGACCTACATGAGAAAAAGTGTTCATAAATAATAATGAAACATTGACAAACATGGAACGGCCACAAAGAGATTACATGAAGTACCAAAACACGGAATGAGAAGGGCGTCAGGTCTGACAAGCTGTCACCAAAGCGATCCACAGAGACATTCAAAAGAAGCTTTCCGAGAGATAGATATGAACTTGCAACCAACTGCCGAACCACCAGGCTCCTTAGTCGCGACTTCAATTATAACAATTAATCGAATCCTCTGGGCAGTTGTATCACCACACCTGTAGTTGTACACAGTGTGTGAGTTGTACGAACAAACTTGTGTTGTTGCTCTAGAGACCAAGAGATCGATGATCGATGTTCTGTTGCCACATCGATGGTATTCATTGTGATTTTTTACTTAACAGAGTGGGCTGCCTGAAGGCTGCCATCTTCCATTTGATGCGCAAATGGAAACTTAAACTCTATCCAGTGTGTGACTGCAGTCGTCCAGAACAGGACATACAACCTATAACAACACAATGCCCCGATCCACAGATACAAAGGAGACATCACGGCGATACACTCCGCTTGCTGCTCCGGACGCGGTTATCTGGGCTTAACCACCTGAATGTGAAATTGTAGTTGTTGCTCTGCATCTAACATCAGCTGTATGCCAAGAAAAAGAGGAAGAAGAATAAAAGCCCTGACTGAACCAGCGTGTCCTCACCTTGTTGTCGCTGAGGCCGGACACTTGCTCCACGTACTCCTCCTGAATCATGAAGGCGGCCAGGTTGGCCGTGTAGCTGGCCAGGAATATGACGGCAAAGAAGGCCCAGACGGACACCATGAATTTGCTGGTGGTGCCACGTGGGTTTTCCACCGGCACGGAGTTGTTGAAGACGAGGGCCCACAGCAGCCAAATGGATTTGGCGATGGTGAAGGTCGGCCCGCCCGTTTCTGGACACGCGCACACGTGCAAGACATACAAGCTCTCGGCTCAGTCAAACTCGCTCACAGGCACAAGCGTGCCCAGTCAAGAGAGGGGATGTTTCTGGTTTGTCTGAACGATTCCTAATCCGCCGTTTGCACCCCTCAAGGACGCAGTACGCCACGTAAAACACACGCTGCGATGTAGAGCAATTAGAATTAAATGTATATCAAATCTAGTTATTATCAACACCAATTAGTCTTTGTAGATGGTAATTAATGGAACATGTGCTAAGCAAGTGTGAGACTTCTAATGTCACGTTCTCTACTGGGTCGCTCACGCTACATTCCAGATGGTTACTTCAAAGCAAGGTGGCACAGTTTTTGAATTGGGGAAATTGGCTTGGCCTGGTTACTTGGCCTGTTTGCAGCCTTACTGAGCTTTTAGTGGGCCTCGTGGCTCGTTTTGCATGTATGTTGAACCTCTTTCGCACCGTAGGTAGCCAACCATGCTAATCGTAGGTTCATTTGTTAAGGGAGCTGCACTCTTAAAGCCGGGCCACCCTTCTTGATGTCACTCTATCAATTTGGAAAACAGACACGGCATCGATTACAGGAATAATAGATGTTATCTTGGGATAGTGTAAAGCTAACCTAGGCACGTATAAAACCTTGTTAAATATTTGTTTTCCATGCAATCACTTCTCTCCATCTGCATACGGGAAGGGATGAGGCCACGACAGGGACGGAGTGGAGGGGTTGAGCTTACAGAGCCACTAGGCTCGTGTAAGCGTCGCAATGAGAGACGAGCTGTGCTAGGCCATACCTGTTACTGCCCGGCACGGCTCGGTTCTCCTTTACAACGAACGTGAAAATGCAGCATTACAGACCATGCCACATCACGTGCCCCACGGATATCTGGAGTAGGTGGTTTTCAGGAGTGATTCACGGTCTGTTGATGTTCATGTGACACCAAGCTCCGAAGCGTGGGATTTCCTGTCTGGCGAACCGGGTTGAAGATGAACTCTCAGGGCTCTCTAAACTATAAACTAAATCATTATTTATTTTTCCAGGTAATGCCCACTGAGCTATATAGCGCTTTGTTTTCAGAACCGACCTGGCCAGAAATGATTGCTTAATTAAGTGACTTATCATTTGTAAATGTATAGTATCCGAAAACTCTAAACGCATGTTTCTAAATGTGGAGGAAAAAACCGCAGGGCCCGGAGAAAAATCCACGCGGCCACAGGGAGAACACGCAAACTCCAAATATACAGGCCTCAGGGTCAAGATCGCACCCACAACCTCCTATATACCAGGCGAGGTAGTTAAAATCTCTCCCTCGTGGAACACCATGCTCATTTAGAGAATGGGCAGAAAGAGAGCCTTTGCACTGCCAACACAAAACATAAGGTCCGAGGATTTAAGGCATGTGCATTTTAACGTTCAGCCGACTTCTCATGCTATACACGTAGTCTAGTTTACATGTACAGCAGGTCAATCCATGTTAGTTTTGCCCATAAATAGAGGGAATTATCCCCGTTTCCTTGGAGACGGTCTTTTGTGTAAAACCTGACGCTTCTTTGCGATAACGAAAGGCAGTGAGCCAAGCAGAGGAACACTGCCGCTCTCTACCATGCCAACAGAACAGCCAATGAAAGGGGGGATAATGGGACGTGTGATAATTGTTAATAAGGGTCTGTGACTAACTCTACGCGAAGATGAGAAATGTGTTTACAAGAGACAAATAATCGTGACTACGATACGCGCCAGGGGAACTCGGCCGTCCTAAACCATCACAGCCTTCAATCTGCACTCAGCATTTATGTAGCAACAAGCGCTCGCCGGTGTAATAAAGCAAACAGCGACAATGTCTCAATAATAGTCATAATTCATAATTGAGAACATATGCATGTCCATGCTATTATTATCATCGTCACAATTCCCATCTTGCCATGGTGGAGTATTTTGCAGTGAAATCGACCATCGCGCTGCCTACACAGCGCCGTCCGGGAGAAGGAATGCATAAAATTAATTCTGCGCGTCTCTTGTTTTCCACCTTCAAACGCCCTTTCCGTATTCAGCTGTTCACACCGGTGAATTGTGTTCTGATAGGATTTCCATCACCAAACCTAACATCACTAATAATAATAGTGATTATTGAGTACATGTTGTAGTCACGCTGTTCTTACGACACAGAGAAGCCATCACAAAGGCACTGCTGCGTTCTATAGATATCGTCTCCAGTTGTTTGACAGTAGGGGGCGATGTTGCTGTGTGTAATCCAAATTGAGTAATTTTCAGGGTACATTTATTTTATTTGGCAAATGTGGACAGTGATGGTGGCATAAATACCTCGCCTGGTTTGCAGGAGGTCGGGGGTTCGATCGCGACCCTGACACCTGCTGTATATTTGCAGTTTGCAAGTCTCTCTTCCCATGGTTGCATGGATATTTTTTTCCCCCGGTTCCTCCGGTTTTCCCTCCACATTGAGAAACATGCGTTTAGATTATTTAGATAATTTTGCTGCTATAAATTTCCACGTAATAAGCCACTCGTTGAGCTATGATATGTGGTTGCTTCTGAAAAATAAGCGAATAGCTGACATTGCCTGGTAAGAAAAAATAGTTTAGTGTTTTATTTGTATATTTTTAAAGTTATTTGATTCTGTTTTATCATAATTTGCACTCCGATCGGGTTTTATATTGTTTGTTGTTGTAACATTCTGACCTGCCCCGACTTGACACCTGTGAAGAAGAACTGTATTGCTCATCGGATTCCTCCAGTACAAATAAATATTCTGATTCTGATACTCACTTCCCTCCAGCTGTAGCAACAATAACTACCATCTCTGGGCTACAAAAAAATATATGTGTTTGTGTAATACCGCCCTGAATTGTCAGTTTGGGCGTTATATCAAAATCTCCGTAGCAGATGTAACCTACGGGCAGTATTCTACCACCATTGCTCACAAAGCACGCAATCGGCGATAATAAGTAACACTCCCCGGGGCAACGCATGGCCAGGAATCTAATAATGAGTTGTGTTTGCTTACAGCATTGACCTTTACCACTGCAATGTGTTGTGTGCAAGTGCTAAGAATAGACATGTTCAGAAAAGCAAAAAAATAACAGTTATAATTTTACAATAAAATAATAATAACTTACAGGCTTTTTGACAATCTACTGCTGATCGAATGGTTGTTTGACCATATTTCAACCACGCTGGACAGTGCAGATTGGTGAAGGGAAAAAATTAAGACTGATGTTAGCCGGGGGTCGGGAATCAAATTCCAGTTTCCAGGTTCAAATCACAGTGCGCAAACTGCTGTGCCACTGTTAAACTATTAAAAACTATTTTCGTTTCACCAAGTAAGGCCCACTGAGCTATATGTATATCTTTTTCAGGAGTGACTTGGCCATAAATGGTATCTCAATGAAGTGGCGTATCACGTATACATTCATAGCACCCAAAATACTATAAATGCATGTTTCTAAATGTGAAAAAAAGAAACCAGAGGATCCGGAGAAAAATCCACGCGACCACGGGGAGAACATGCAAACTCCAAATATACAGGTGTCATGGTCGGGATCGAACCCACGACCTGCTGTATACCAGGCGAGGGAGTTAACATCTCGCCACCGTGGCAAGTTCCATTCCATACTCTACAAGCGTCAAGCTTTTCACGTCAACTTTCCATGCTGTAGCTCTTCGCAGCCAATAATTTGATTCATAATTGATTTTTGGGTTAGGTCACGAGATGTTGCAGTCGTATAACCCCAAACAAATCATGTTGTCATGTGTACAAGAGTTTAAATGTTCCAATTATTGTTTAAGCTCAGCAAAAATAAAACTGTTCTCACAACCAAAAGTATGCTTGTAAAACTACAAAAATCTGCACTATCCTAGTGTACGCAGACAGTCTTGGAAAGTTCTAGATTTGAAGCTTTCGTGACTGCAAGGATTCATATTCTTAGGTTTTTGTCGGTAAAGTCACGTAGGTAAAACATTTAAATTAATAAAAGTAAAATAAAATAAAAATCGCGACGTTTCGGAGGCAACACAAGCTTCCGTCTTTAGGTGGAACAGTCACAGCCACGACAGCTGTATCAAGTAAATGAGACGGAGTGATAGCTCCTGCAAACTAAGAATATATTCTTGGACAGCTTCCAATGTGGTGCTTTTTTCTCTAAATATGATTAAATGTTTACAGCCAGGAATAAAAATACTCAGAACCATGCTAGGAACACTCTACTCATTTATTTAATTAAATGTTACTCACACAATGATCGAGTTTGTAGATTCTCACAAAAGACACGAATAATAAAATAAAAATACTGCACAGCTTCGCTGGGCGAATATGAATTATTCAGTCATGTGCAGACGAATAATACAAACCCACAGATGCCCGGTCAGGTGGCTCACAAACAGAAACACTTGAGTCAAAATTCTGGTTGGAGATTGACTCAGCCGATTATCCCTCTGGTTTCGTGACAATGAGTACCACACTTTGTGCTGAAGTCAACGGAGAGACTCGCACCCACCATAGGCATGCGGAGTGTACACCGCTGTCTCGGGACTATGAACAAGAGCTCCGTGCTTAATTGAGCGAGGAATCACCTTTGGCATAGAGAGGGGGCTTAAACTGGAGATGTTGGAAGGGAGTGAGCAAGTTGTTGGGACTTTGAGTGTGCTCCCTAACGATGATCCCAACTGCTCAATCGGACACCGCCGCACAGCCACACCACCGCGCAGAGCTCTGTTGCGGCAACACTTCCCTTAATGGTATTATCTACGTATGTTGAAATTATTTCGCACCATATGTGGCGAACGGTGCTAATCAGATTTGCGGGGGAAAAGACAACAAACTAAATACAAAAAGCAGTTCTTAAGAAATGAGTTTTCAATCTAGGTGATTTAAAAGTTCATAGCTCCAGTGGCTTGCTAATACCGAAAGGAAGAGTGTTCCTGACAGCTGCAGAAGCGCATCCAAAAGCGCGCGATACGGTGACCATCTTTGTTCGATAGCC